GGAAAAGGAGGAGAGGGATGAGCCAGGATTGTTTGGAAAGAGGAAATTCAGGAAAAGGAGGAGTAGGATGAGCCAGGAGTTTTTTGGGAAAAAAAGGAGAGGAATGATCCAGGATTGTTTGGAAAGAGGAAATTTAGGAAAAGGAGGAGAGGGATGAGCCAGGAGTTTTTTGGGAAAAGGAGGAAATGGATGAGCCAGGATTGTTTGGAATGAAGAAATTCAGGAAAAGGAGGAGAGGGATGAGCCAGGATTGTTTTGGGAAAAGGAAATTCAGGAAAAGGAGGAGAGGGATGATCCAGGAGTTTTTTGGGAAAAAGAGGAGAGGAATGATCCACGATTGTTTGGACAGAAGAAATTCAGGAAAAGGAGGAGAGGGATGAGCCAGGATTGGTTGGGAAAAGGAGGAGCTGAGAGGATTTGGGGAAAAGGAGGAGATGGATGAGCCGGAATCGGTTGGGAAAAGAGGAGGAAAGAGCCAGGAGTTTTTTGGGATAATGAAGAGATGGATGAGCAAAAATTCATTGGGAAAAGGAGGAGAGGGATGAACCAGGATTGGTTGGGAAAAGGAAAGAGAGGAATCAGGAGAGTTCAGGAAAAGAAGGACAAGGAGGATCCAGGAGTTTTGTAGGAAAAGGAGGAGAGGGATAAGCCAGGAGTGTTCCAGGAGCAGCAGTGGAGCGGATGGGGATGGAGAAAGGCCACTTTTCCCAGGAAAAAGGGTCACTTTTCCCAGGAAAAAAGGTCGCTTTTCCCAGGAAAAAAGGGTCGCTTTTCCCAGGAAAAAGGGTCGCTTTTCCCAGGAAAAAGGGTCACTTTTCCCAGGAAAAAGGGTCACTTTTCCCAGGAAAAAAGGGTCGCTTTTCCCAGGAAAAAAGGGTCACTTTTCCCAGCAAAAAGGGTCACTTTTCCCAGGAAAAAAGGGTCACTTTTCCCAGGAAAAAAGGGTCGCTTTTCCCAGGAAAAAGGGTCGCTTTTCCCAGGAAAAAGGGTCGCTTTTCCCAGGAAAAAAGGGTCGCTTTTCCCAGGAAAAAGGGTCGCTTTTCCCAGGAAAAAGGCGGCAGGGCTGTTTTACAGGGATGTCACCTAGGATGTGCCCAGTGCCCGCTATTCCATGGATTCACACATGGAAAATAGAAATACAGACATTGGATGAGGATGGGAATAGGGAGCCAGGCCGGGAGAGCCGGGAATGTTCTCCTGGATCAGGGAAGGATCCAGGGAATCCTTGGAGCCGCTTCCCGATCCCCAAGGGGCTCCCGGAGAGCTGGAATTTGGGGAAGGGCTGGAGGGGCAGGAGCCAGGGAATGGAATTCCCAGTGGGAAAGGGGAGCTTGGGAGTTTGGGACCTTGGGCAGGAATTCCCGGCTGGGCTGGAATTCCCAGAGAATCCCTGGGAATGTCCCAGGAAAGGCTGGATCACCCTGGAATCATGGAGGTGTCAGGGTTGGAGTTGGATGATCCTTAAATTCCTTCCCCCCCCCCCCAAACCATTCCATGATTCCATAAAATATGATCCCTTTCCTATTTTTTTTTTCTTCTTCCTAAGGCAAATCCCTCTGAATTCCCAGTTTTCCGAGCCCCAGGACCTCCCAAATCCCAGCATCCCAAGCCACCCCTGGAGCATCCCGGCTCGGGAATGTGCCAGAGGCAGCGGATCCGGGATCCAGGATCCCTCCCCGGAGCCGCAGCGCCGAACTGAAAACCACGGGAAGAGAATTCGCTCATCCAGCAAATTCCCAGGAAGGAACCGGCGCCTCCTCAGCAATTCCCGAGCTATTTATTCCCGCTTTTAATTGGCCTGCAGAGCCACGGAAGCAAAAATTACCGGAATATCAAAGGAAACGGGAAACGGGCACCAACGGATCCGGCGCCGCTCCGGATCCTGCCGCGGGATTTATCCCGAGCTCTCCGCGTGGGGATGGAATTTATCCTTCCCCTGCTTTCTCCTTGATTTTTTCCCAAAAGTTTCGACGCTCCAGGGATTGGATCCGGTGATAAAATCACCCGGCAATCCCAAGGTTACGGAATCACGGAGGTGTTTAAGTTGGAAAAATCCTCGGAGGTCCCCAAATCCAAGAATTCCCAGCGCTTCCAGGACCACCCTTAGTCCATCTCCCCACATCCAGGTGGATTGAGAATCCCTCTGGGAATTCCACTACTGGGCAGCCCTTTCCAGGAGGGAATTCTGCAGGAAAGCCGCTCTGGCCGGAGGAATTATCCGATTCCCACTTCTCGGCTCCTTTTCCCAGAGAGAGAAGGGAAAAAATGGGAATTTTCCCAGCCTGGTCCCTTGTCACCTCCATCCAAAAGGGGCTGGATGTGCTTTGGGATCTACCGAATCCCAGGAAATCCACTCCAAACCCAAAGGAAGGAGGAGGAAGCGGCAGCGATTGTGGGGAGCGACGTCCAGGGATTCACTAAACCCTGGGATCGCGTTTGCCGAAGGAAAAGGGGGAAAATAAGTCTGGAAAAGTCGTGGCTTGATCCAAGGGGTTTTCCAAGTGCTGGGATAAAAAAAACCAATGGGAAACTGGGAAGGCTCTGGCACAGAATTCCCAGAGGAGCCGTGGTTGGCCCTGGATCCCTGGAAGTGTCCGAGGCCAGGCTGGGCAGGGTTTGGAATAATCTGGGATCAGGAAAGGTGTCCCTGCCCATGGAATGGGAAGAGCATGAAGGTCTCTTCCCACCTAAAATTCCATGGTTTGTGTTTCCTGGGATTGACGGGAGCAGCTCGTGCCTCAGGGCCTGAAATGATCCCAGGAAACTTCAGGAATTTTGGGCTCCTTCATTCCCAGAGATTCCCTTCCCTCCCAGGCCGCGGGGGATCTCCCGGAAAAGCCTTTCCCAGAAAAAATCCTTCGGGATGAAGCCCGGGACACAAACATTCCTGATGAATTGGGGAGCTGTGCGCAGCCTCTGGAATTTCCCAGGATCTGGAATATCCAGCAGGCTCCGGAGCAGCAGCGGGCTTGGAGAATTCTTTATGGAATGAAGGAGGAAATAATTGGGAAAAAAAGGAACGGAATCAAACCCAACCCCCCTCCTCCTGCTCCAGGATTTGGGATCGGCCTTGGATAATCCAGGTGAACTCCAGACATTCCCGGGAATTCCCTGTGCCCACAGGAGGGTGGAGATTCCCCGGATATTCCCCCGGCAGGAAGGAATCCAGGAATGCCTGCTCCAGGAGGGATTCGCTTCCCTAAAAATTCTGGAATTCCAGGCTGGACACGGCTCCGGATCCAAACGCGATCCCAACCATTCCCAAATAGTTTTCCAATGGCAGAAAAATGGTTGGGATCGCGTTTGGATCCGGAGCCGTGTCCAGCCTGGAATTCCAGAATTTGAGGGGCAGGAAAAAATCCCACAGGGAGCAACGGAAGGGCTGGTGGGAAATGGACTTGGATGGGGCTTGCAGGGGGAAAAATTCCCAAAATTTTGGGATGTTCCAGCCCTGGAAGTGTTCACGGGATGGTTTGGGTGGGAAGGGAACTTCAATCCCATCCCATTCCACGGGCAGGGAAATTTCCCAATCCCAGGCTGCTCCAAGGCTTTTCCTTGGACATTTCCAGGGATCCAGGGGCAGCCACAGCTCCTCTGGGAATTCCGTGCCTGAAGGAAAATGAAGGAATTCCATGGCGGGAAAAAAATCCCAAATTTTTCCTCCCGAGGCAAAGGAAAACGGAGCCAAAATCCCAGCGGGATTTTCCCAGCTTGGATGAAAATTTTTTTCCTGAAATTCAGTGCAGAAAACACGGAAAATTTTATGGGTTTAATTTATCCCCCCCCACCTTGGAAAATTCCATAGGGATTTTCCCACCTGTGTCCAGCCGGGAATCCCGTTTGACCCTTATCAGGAAAAACCTTGGAGCAGACAACGAAGATGCCAAGAAAAATTGGGAACAGGGATTTCAGCAGGACTGGGATTCCCGGGTCTTCACCCCGACAGGGAATCCCGGGAAAGCAAGTGGGATTTTTGGGATGAAACGATTGGAAAACTTCTCCTACCTCGTCAAACTTGGCCTCGTCCTCGCAGTTTTCCAACACTCGGGTGTAGAAGGAAAGTCCTGGAGAGGAAAAAGAGGGAAAACTGGTGGACAAAGGGCTGGGAGAGCCTGGGATTTTGGGATTTGGGAAGAGGCGGATGGAAAAATTCCATGGGAATTCCACCTCCTGGGAGAGGCCCCTCGATCCTGCGGCGCTTCCCTGCTCCAGCCCTTCCCAATCCAGGAGCATCCCGGATTTTTCCGAGCCATCCATGAGTGGTATCCCTCATTTCCCAGCCCCATTCCCGACGGGAATCCTCTCCTGGCAGCCCTCCACCATCCATTAATTCCCTAATTAGCCCCGGACACAAACGCAATTAAGCCGGGGTGAGGTGGGAATTCCCGTGGGAAAGCGACTCCGGAGCGGAGCTCAGATCCTGCTGGAGCTTCCCAAAAAATGGGCCAGGTGATGAAAATTCCCCGTTTTCCTGCCTTTTCCCCCAAAGCCAGGCTGGAAAACCAGAATTCCCGGAAAATCCTGGAGTCATCCCCGGTTTTTTCCCCTGCGCGGAACAAGGAGGGGGAAAACGGAACGGCGGCGGAGCCGGGAGCCCTTTGGAGCCACCAGGATTTGATCCCATTCCCAAATCCCTGACGGAAAACCGGGACAATTCGGTTTTCCAGGCAAAGCTGAAATCTCTGGATCCTCACGAGATCCCTCGGGAATGTGGGAGTCAAATCCAAGGCTGCGGATGGAGAGGAATTCCAGGATATTCCAGGATTCTGGGAGCGGATTTCGACCACGGGATCCATCCATCTAAAGCCAGGTCAAAAAATCCGGAATTCCCAGAAAATCCTGGAGTCATCCCTGGTGTGTGCCAGGCTCAGGGATCCAGGAAAACCAGAGGGATGAGGAATATCCAGCCGGCAGCTGGGACAGGGCTCCTCATTCCACGGCCAAGGGTCCAAAGCTTTTCCAGAGGCGCCGGAAAAGTTTTTCCCGACGGATTTTGGGGCGGACACGGGAATTCCAGGAATTCCAGGTCAGCGTGCCTGGAATCCATCCTGTCCCACCCCAGGGAATGACAGAGCCCTGACGAGGGAAGGAGCCATGGAAATACGGAATTATCCCGCTTGGAAAACCCCTCTCGGACCGGGTTCGGCATTCCCTGACGCCACATCCACTGGGAATTCCATCCCTCCGGGAATGGCGATCCCGCTGCCCTGGGCAGCCCCTTCCCGGCAGGAATTGTTCCCGAGGAATGATTCCCACGGGCTTAATCCAAGAGCCAAAATTCCATCTGGGATTTAAGGAATCGCGCAAAGAGGACCAGGAGCCAGCAGGACAATTCCCAGGCAGCATTCCCAAATTTCCATGGAGCGAAGGGCCAGCAGAGCATTCCCGGGAAACCAAACGAGGGAGGAGCTCTCAGGGGGGTGGATTCAGGATCCCTTCCATCCCAAATCATTCCATGATTCCAAGAGAAGGGAAAAATCCCGGTTTTCTCCTCCTGAAGGATCATCCCGCTTCTTTTTCCCTACGGAATTTTCCCCATCCCCTCGTCCCCAGCCGGCTCCTGCATCCCGTGGAAATTCCAGCCTGGATTCTGTCCCGGATTCCAGCCCCGGAGCTCTCCCACATCCCATAACATTCCGTGTCCAGGACGTTCCCGGCGCTCATCCCTGGAATTCCCCGGCTGCTGCCTCAGTTTCCCGTTGGAAAAAGGGAATTTGGGAAAGACGCTGAGGAGCCTTTGGAGCGGGATTTCTCTCCCTGCGGATCCGGGCTTCGGAGCGGGGAAGGAGCCCAGATCCCTCCCCAGGCACATCCAAGGGATGGATCCATCCGGATCCGCTTCCCCGATCCCGGAATTGCTTCCCGAGCTGCTTCCAGCCCCTTTCCCAGCAGCTGGATTTTCCTGGCCTGGATGAGCCCGGGAAAAAAGGAATTCCCGCCTGGAAGCGTCAGGCATTGTCTGCATCCCGGCGTGACACCAAATCCCCTTTTCCATGGGAATTCATGGAAGGAAAAAAACAGGAAAAACCCTTGGGACCTCGGTCGTGGAATCCAAGGAAATTCCTTCCTTGGAATTCCATCCCAGAATGGGATGGGTGGGACGGGAGTTCCAATCCCGGCCCGTTCCAATCCCCCGTCCCAGGATGCTCCAGCTTTTCCTGGGACACTGCCAGGGATCCAGGGATTCTCCGGGAATTCCAGCCCAGCCCCTCCCCACCCTCCCAGCCGGGAATTCTTTCCCAAGATCCCAAAATCCCCTTTCCCGGTGGAAGCCGTTCCCTGTTTCCAGTCTGGACCCAAAGCAGGGATGGATCCCGACATTCCCGAAATCCCGCTGGGAATTTGGGTTGGATTCGGGAGCGGGAATGCCCAGAACTGGAAATTTGGGATCTCCCAGGGCTCCGCAGCAGATTTTCCTGGAATTCTGTCTCTTCCCAAGGATTTTCTTGGAGCTGGAAGCACGACAGGGAGCTGAGGGTTAATTATCCCTGGTTAATGATCCTGCGCTCATTAAGAGCAGGGAAAGCTGATCCAGGCTGGCGATGGAATTCCTGGAATTCCCC